CCCCCCCCCAGCATGTCCCCATCCCTTGTGGGGCAGGATGAGCCCCCCTCCCAAGGGGGCAAATAAATAGTTTTGGGGTTAAAATCACCTGGAATGGGGGGGTCCCCAGGGTGAGGACACAAAATATGGGGACAGGGACAAGGATGGGGACTTCAGGGGGGCAGAGGGTGCCCCCCCAGCATGTCCCCATCCCTTGTGGGGCAGGATGAGCCCCCCCAGGGGACAAATAAATAGTTTTGGGGTTAAAATCACCCAGAACAGGGGGGGTCCCCAGGGTGGGGACAGGGTGGGGACAACGATGGGGACAGGGTGGGGACTTCAGGGGGGCAGAGGGCACCCCCCCAGCATGTCCCCATCCCTTGTGGGGCAGGATGAGCCCCCCTCCCAAGGGGGCAAATAAATAGTTTTGGGGTTAAAATCACCTGGAATGGGGGGGTCCCCAGGGTGAGGACACAAAATATGGGGACAGGGACAAGGATGGGGACATCAGGGGGGCAGAGGGTGCCCCCCCAGTGCCCCAGCATGTCCCTGTCCCCCGTGGGGCAGGATGAGCAACCCCCCCCGGGGGACAAATAAATAGTTTTGGGGTTAAAATCAGTGGGAACGGGGGGGTCCCCAGGGTGGGGATGGGGATGGGGACAGGGTGGGGACAGGATGGGGACTTCAGGGGGGCAGAGGGTGCCCCCCCAGCATGTCCCCATCCCTTGTGGGGCAGGATGAGCCCCCCTCCCAAAGGGGCAAATAAATAGTTTTGGGTTAAAATCACCCAGAACAGGGGTGTCCCTAGGGTGGGGATGGGGACAGGATGGGACAGGATGGGGACATCAGGGGGGCAGAGGGTGCCCCCCCAGTGCCCCAGCGTGTCCCCATCCCCCGTGGGGCAGGATGAGCCCCCCCCAGGGAACAAATAAATAGTTTGGGGGTTAAAATCACCTGGAACAGGGGGGTCCCCAGGGTGGGGACAGGGAGGGGACAGGGTGGGGACAGGATGGGGACATCATGGGGGCAGAGGGGGCCCCCCCAGCGCCCCGCCGTGGGGGCCCCCCAGCAGCTGGAGGGGCGCGGGGGGGTCGGCGTCGCTGTCCCCGTCCTCGTCCCCCTCCGGCCGGACCACCCGCTCGTGCTGGCGGCTGAACCGCCGGG